CATTCTTTCAAAACTCTCATATGAGTTATTTCGGTATTTTTGTAAGTAAATAAGTTTATTTCAACCAGTTAAAAATTTATAATCGATACTTCTGTAAACACAATTAAATCTATCTATTTAAGTAATATGTATTAAAGTTTATGTTAGATATAAATCCAATAATATAATTATGATAGTAATTAAAGTTTTTAAACATTAACAATTATATTTATAATCTATCTACTCTTTTTATAATGCAAACCAGTCCACATGATAGTAGACCTTCACGTAATAATACGAATAATAATACTAACAATAGTTCTACAGCCAATATAAATGTATTACGTACAATTGGCAACACCTTAGTTACAGAAAATCAAATAAATACGTTTCAGAATTCTAGTACAACTTTTAGGTAAATATTTATAAAGAAAATCGAAATATTATTTAGATAAAAAATATTAAATAAAATATACGCTTCTTGTTTTGCTACTTATCATTTGGAAAATTAATATAGTGTTGGAAACACTACGACTACAACTACCAATGCTGTTGGCAATGCTGGCGGCTCTGTTACTATTTATACAACAACTACAACAAATGATAATGGTAATGGCAATATAACAGGTGGTCCACTACAGGAAATTATTGTAAATCCAACTTCAATGGTAGGTTGGCGTTTGAGTGCCAACGGGTCTTTAATACCACCACACGACTTACTAACAAGCGGTCTGCCAAATGCAGCCGCACAAAAACGGGGTTCCGAACGTTTATTTCAATATCTTGAGGCCGACGGAAGTGATCCAGAAGACTATGCGCGGTACCTACAATAAAATTGATAATAATTTCTTAAAAAAAATTTTATTAATTTTATTTTGTTTATGATTGTTCTTTTTGTTCTTTTGTCATTTATTAATTAGTTGGTAATAACATTAATTAGTAATTAATGTTAATATTAACTAATTAATATTTTTATTCTTTTTGATTTTCTTCCCAATTGTGTTCATTCCTATTGCTATATAAAAAACATCAAGGTCCTTCGACTAGTATTTTTGTTCTTAGTATTTTATTTATATCATTATTATCAGTATATTATTTATTATTATTTTACCATTATTATGTTATTTATTTAATTATTATATTATCATTATTATGTTACTTATATAATTATTTTATTATAAAGAGGTTTTTCGAACAGTAGTGAACTACAACAACAAAAATTTTATTTTTTATATTATTTTAATTAATTAAATTTTTGGCTGACCATACAGCCATTATTTTATTATTACTTTTTTTTATAAATATTATTTTATTTTTATTTTTTTTTTGTGTGCCGGGGTAGAGGGGATTATCTACTCACTGACCACAATCCTGCGCCCCGGAAAGTGAGTGCCCGACTCGCATAAACTAAGCTCATCTCTCTCATTCCTAATAATAATTATTTTATTACAATTATTTTATTTTATTATTATTAATTTTTTAATTAATATAACTAATTTGTTATTACTATTTTATTAATGTAATTATTTTGTTATTATTATTATTTATTTAATGTAATTGTTTTATTATTATTATTTTAAACATTGACAAAATTATTTATACTTATTGTTTAAAAAAATTTTTTTTTAAGTCATAATTTGTTTAGTATATTTTATAACATATATATACAGTTTTTTTCAAACATTTAAAATTAACATTTTTTTTCTCTTTCAACAGTCTTTTAAAAATGGATGCCATTAGTCGTAATACAGCTTCAGTCGCTCAGGATTTTCATAAAGCGGGGGGCGTGCAAGAGTTGAAAATTCCAGTTAATCATCAACTCCTGTTTAATAATAAACTGCCTTCGCAATTGACGACAAAAGAAGCTGCTGCGCTATTACAAAGCCTTAGCTATACAAATAACATCAGCTATGCGATTCAACCACAGCAACACCAACAACAACAGCGTTCAAAATATGGTGGCATCCATGGTTATCAACCGCAGAATGGTATGCGTCAACGACAACATTCCACTGGTATCGATGATGAAAATACACCATCGTCCGCTTCATCGACGACGTCAAATGACGATATATCACCAGTAAAACGACAACAACAAGAGCGTAAAAATAATGTTGCAATAAAAACTGAGCAGAGAAAGGCGATGTCGGCATTTTTAAGTCAAAATTTTGATTTGCAAGAGACAACAATACATACAACAAATGAATCAGCAAGCAGCCAAAATAAGCGTAAACACTATCAAACGATCGATAATGATGAAGATCAAGAAAATAAAGTGCAGCTTATTAAATCGCCTCCCGCATATAAATATCCCGTAAATACTAATTTCAGTAACCAAAGTAAAACTAAAGCAAATCACAAAAATGCCGTCAATATTACGAATAACAATAATAATAGCAACAACAGTCACAATCGTGAACATCGCCTTGATCTGCTGAGTAGAGATGATAAAGAAAATTCCAATACTGCATCTTTTCTATCTACAATGGATTATCAAAACCTTAACAAATTGGGTACACATTTTCAGAACTATGTTAAGGATATCATAAATAAGTATTACGCTGAGATACCACTTATGTTTCCAGCTATGCCAACACCTACTACAACACCACAACAAAGTCAAGAACAATCGCCAAAAAAGAAACGTCTATTAAGTGAAACTGAAGAATATATCGAATACCTGAAAAATAAAGAAGATATTACACTCACGATAACACCTAAACAACCGCGTACTTCACCAACAATAACGCAAACATTAGAAAAACCAATACCAGCTCTGACAACCATTAGTGAAACTTCCATAAGTGTGCGTTCAAATAATAAACCTAAATCACCACTAAAACGTTATCAACAGGAAATGCCAGTACAACGTAGAGAAAGTCCAAAGAAACAACAAGTCACAAATTCAATAAGGAATCGACCACCACGCAAATCCTTATCTCAAATTGCTACCTTACTACCGCTTTTAGCTGACGCAGCGAGCCAACAACAATACCTAGCAACACCACTGGATTTTAGCAAGAAATCGATGCCATCGCCAAAACCAACACCTCAACCTCAAGAACAAAATGATGCTGTCATCAATCTGGCAGCAAGCTCATCTAGCTCTTCTTCTTCTTTGCATGATAAACGCTCATCTCGTAAACAAGCTCAACCAAAAAAGATACGACTTACACCAGAAGCGGTCGTATCAATGCTGCGTGATAAATACTTAAGTCGTATGGTTAATCGGAAGCTTCGCTGTGCTATCTGCACCAAAACAAAACGCTGGCAATCAATGATGTTTAGCTACCACACAAAAGGTACACTGGCTTTGCATCGAATGTGGAGACATCGGAGTCAACCAAAAAATTGCGGTTTGTGCGGTGAAGTATGTAAGCACAAAATCCATTTGAGTTTGCACTATAAACGCGCTCACAGTGCTGTGGTCCAAAGAAAGAATCAAGTGAAGAAGTCGGCGACAAATTATAGTGAATTATAAATATTAAATAAGTTGAGAGTATTTTGATATTACACGAATTTATTTATATATTTATTTTAATTTCAATTGTTGAATTTCGTAGATTTGAACTCATTAATTGCGATTTATATCAAAAACAAAAAAAAAAGAAAATAATAAATCTTCCTAAATTTTCGTTTGTAGCAAATCACTTAATGAAACCTAAGCTGAAATATCCATCGAGAATTATTTTATATTTTACTAGTTTAAATTTTAAAAACATTTGACTATATTTATTGATATAAAAATTTTTTATATTAGTTGATATTTAAATTTGATATTTTTTGCTTATTAAAACATTAAGCAAATATGAATTTTTATTAAAGGCAAATAATTTTGTATTAAATAAAATTCAATTTTTCTTGCCATTTTATATATTGTATTTCAAATTTGATATTGCATTTATTTTATATATTTTAATTAAATTTTAAGTTGTGATGTACCTGAAGTTTGATTTTATTTAAATTGAAAAGACAAAAGTAGGAATGTAAATTATTTTAAAAAATTTTAAACGACATAGAAATTAGGTTCAAAATCCACCCTCGTTTCGTTATAATCTCATAATTATTTATATCTACATTTATATACTATATATCCAAGCTTTAATTTAATATACATATATGATTTAATGAGTTTTATTTAGAATTTAAATATTGATTGCCATTCTTCATTACTATATAAGTATTACATTTGATTTAAATTCATTAAAATTTAAATAATTGTATCATTACTATTATGTGTAAAATAATATATGTTCAAATATTACGTTTGTAGTAGATAAGATTATAATCAAAACATTCTCTATAATTTTAATGATTTTACTTTATGATATTGTATTTAAAATTTTATACTTTTATTATTATAGTAAACTTTTTATTATTTATATGTTTAATTTAATAAATATAACTGATAAAAAAAAATACACATATATACAGCCCAAGCAGCATAAGGTATACCTACTAAAAGAATTAATTGATAATTAGAAAAATAAATACGAAGTTAAAAAATCCACAATAATCAAATTTGACTGAAAAATGAAAAAAAAAAAAAAACAAAAATACAAAACCACAAAATTATATCGTGAAAAAGTAATTTTAGTATATTTATTATTTGTTTTTGCAAAACAAAATGTTAAATTAAATTTTTGGATGAAAACTTTAAAAATGCATGTATATTTAAATTAAAAACGATTAATGGATTATCATCTAATTTGATAATAATATGGTAATAAACGCTATTATTATTCAATGCGTTACATTAAAAAATAAAATTAATGAATATAAAAAAAATATATTGTGGAAGTGTGTTTTAGTTTAATAAATATTTCTAAATATTTAAAATAAATATAAATTTAAAAAAAAATTAATTTGTAGTATGATTTATTAAGGTTTAAAGACCTACTCTAGGCCTACAAAGGGACACAATAGACTCGATGGTCACAGTGCCACATCCCCTTACAATAATAATAATAATGATTTATTTTTGTGGCAGTTTGAAAATAATTAATGAAAAAAAACAAAGGTTTATCATTTACAGAATATTTATTATGTGTATATGGTACTCTTAAACTATTTTTACTTTAAATATATAAACATCCATTATAAGGCCAGTTAACAGCTATATTTAACGAGCATCAAATACAACCACTGAAAAGAAATAAAATATATTTGTTTTAAAAACATAAAATTATTTAAGATTTTTTTTATAAGCTCATAAACGCATGTAATTTAAGTGTGTTATATTGGAACGAGTTTAATCAATAGAATGACGATACTGCGATAATTATAACTACGACAGCCATACAATTTTATGCCTTTACATCAGTGTTTCTCAATAAGTAGATAATTTGATATTAGGGGTATATTGATCGATTCTGGAATAATGGTGATCAGACGGTAGTAGTGAACTGTAAGGGCCATATTATGTAGACTGTCTCGGGCACGTAAAATTAGCTCTTTCGGGCTATGACGAAAATGCATATTATGTAGACTGTCACATCGGAAAGTGCTTATTAGCAGTTTATAAAATAGACTGTATTGCTTACTGCAATTTTTTCTCCAAAACGTATTAAAATTGTAGTAATTTGCTCCTAAAAAGCGCAAATTCTGAAATTTATTACTGAACAATACTGTTTCTCTTAACTGCTGATGCAAAAATAGCCCGCCGAAATTGGAACCGACATATTGTTTTTCAATCTCAATTTTATAATTTGCATTAAAAACAACAACAATTTTACTCATGCTGTGCCCGAAACACTCTAATAACATAATCCTAAGTACGATTGTTATAGCCTATATTTAGGCTATGTGGTATAAGTACCCACGACCCCAGTGGGTACGGTCGAAAAACAGCGAGTTTCATATATATAAATAGATTCTAAAGAAATATGTTTATTAGATTGTGTGTCAAATACGAAAAGTAATAAATATGAAATGATCCTAAAACTATATTTCTGGGAGTATTTTACCTGTAATAAACTAGATCATTTAAAGAATGGGGTAGGATCACACATGTGGAATTTTTAAGCTTAGTTCATTGTAGTAAACATACTTGTAAATGCACACTTTCAACATCTGATGAAACTATAATTTTATTATATGAAGTACTTTTATGGTATTACATTGGATTAAAAACAATAAAGCCTCTTAAAAATCCAAACTTAATAATTCAAGAGCTCTCGTTTACTTTATAAATCACATTTTAACAGGTTAAAATTATGAACTAATAACTGAATAATACTTACATCTCTTAGTGCGTTTCTTGTACATAATACGGTAGCCACATTCTCGGCAACGAATTGGATCTCTAGGACGCATTTCATTTTCGTGATGACATTCTAAGAAACACGAGAGTAAAAGTTTTGAGAATTTAGGCCGATCAAAGAATACACATTGTACTTACCACCACAAATGTAAGTCATTGCAGTCTTTAGCACACTTTCGGTAGTACTAGGTTCTGACATTTTTCTGCTTTTTCTATTTTAATAAATCAAACAATTTAAAATTTAATAAATAAACTTGTGTAGTGTCGCATACAACAGACTTAAGCGGCAACGCACATTTGTATGACAAGTGATTTAGAATCATTTCATACACTTTAATTTGTTCGCTTTTTGTGTAAGAAAATTATATGTCATATTATAGGCCTGCTCCACGAGCTACTCATAGTAACTTTGAGTAAGGCCGTGTGCGAGTTCGAGCAAATTGCGGTAAAGCTAATTGAAATTTCCTAGGGATTTTTTGCACTGCACTTATGTAAATATTTATATATTGCACTTATTTATTATTTGTAGTTAAAAGTTTTCGAATTTATTTATTAAACATCTTTTAAAATTT